CCGAAGGGCAACTGGAAAAGGCGTAGGGGATTGAGCCTCCAACTTCGCTTCCTTGCTATTCGCTCCTTCTTCCTTTTGCAACAGAACGAATCGTAGAGAGAGATGGATTATGTAATTGGCAATCGAACCTTTGACCTTCCGCAAGAGAATAATGAAAATTGCCGTAGTGCCACCAGTTGCGCCCTTGACCACCCGACATCAAGTTGTATTATTTGAAATATTTAAGCTTAAGAAATGTATTTTATCGCTGCCTTCTAATTATACTTTCCAAAAATTTCGGTTTTGTGCTGGTTTTTTTTCAAACTTAAAAGCGCTTTTTTCGCTGGCTATAAGTTAAACTCGACAGCTGGGCTTTTAATCGCAGAATATAATTTACAGCTTGTCCGCTTTCTTCAAGAGCAGCTCGCTGAAGCTGAGGGCAACTCGTGCAATGATTCTGCGCGCTTTTCCGATCCATTTGTAGGTTTGTGTTTTTCGCGATATCTTGAAATTTTTGATATGAAATTACTAACAAAAATTGTATCGTTCCATTTACGATACCTCAAAATCATGAGATCTCCCGGCAAGCAGGGCCTTTGGGGAAGGGGGGGGGGGAAGGTCTCCCTCGGCTTTGAATGGTATCTTTTAACTCCCGACTAAAATTATGCCATCCATCTTTCTAGAACAAGTATTTTTCCACGTTTTTTTGCCTTCCAAAATGTGGGAAAGGTTTTGCTTGCCAAATTCTGATAAATTTCTTGTTTTTAAAGTTTTTTTCAGTAGAAAATTATGGTGGGTAATAACGGCAGGTATGCAGCTCGAATTCAAAGGACATGGCATGGCTGCGCCTGCCGTTTTGGAGCATCCCAGTAACATCACTGACATTTTCTACCCAAAAAAACTTTAAAAATCGGCGCGTGGATTGTTTCGATTGCCTTCGTATAGAAAAAGCAACATTTCTAGATCTGAGCTTCCGGCATATTTTATCACAATTGACCTTATTCTGACGTAGGTAACCAGCCACCGTTTTTTTGTACTTTGGTTCTTAGGTTTGCTACTGCTTAAACTTGAGCGGCTAAAAATTTTAGCTCAGCAAATTTTACTCGGCTTGCCTCTGCTGCTGCGTGCCTTTTTTTTCTTTTTTTCCTCCTCGGTCTCGGCCTCCTCGGACTCCTCGGCCTTTTTTTCCTAACTTTTGGCAACGGCTGTATAGTTTTTTTTTATCATCTCTGCTAGTAGCACTGGCAAATCTGACTTTGACCTACATAAAATTTCATTTTCATTTATCTGTTTAACATTGGTTTTTGTTTTCAGAAGGCCGATATGTGCCGGGTGCCGGATCATCAAGCAAAAACACATCAAACGGGGCATCAGGATTTATAGCCGATCCTTATACGGGTGAAAATGCATACGTAACAACTGAGCGTACAGTTTTGCCCAGCGCCAACGCGCAGTTTGGTTAGATTTATCTTAATTCATAAAAGAATTGATTCGCTCGATTTTGCTTTTTAGTAGATTAACGGTCACTGGGGTACTGTCCAGAAGGACCGTTTGCAAAAACACTGAAGACAGTGAGTAAAAATAGCCAACGCACCGACTGTCAGTGTGGAGATGCATTTTTTGCACAGTTCTGCATGAGTTCCATCGCTAGCGGTACCTGTTTTTCCGGCAGATACTTTTAGGTAAAAGAATTGGGACTGGCCAACACAGCTGTCAGTAAACACATTCTTAAAATTTCAGCTTTCTAGCTTTTCTGGTCCCGAGTTGGCAACTTATCCGCCGAAGATTTCCTTGAGCCCGTACGTGGAGAACCACGCATACTTGGGAGCTGGTTTTGAACGCATTAAATTGTATTTGGATGGAGAACATCCACTTAAAATTCTAGCCCGAGTTAGCAACTTACCCCCAAAAAATTTTCATAGGTAGAACCACGTACACCTGTAGGCTGGATTTAAACTCATTAAGTCCTGCATGGGCGAGGGACATCCCCTTAAAATTTCAGCCTTCTAGCTTTTTTGGTTCCCATTTAGTAACTTACCCGCTAAAAACTAACGGGCCCGTACTTAGGAACTATGTGAATAAGGGCGTCCATTTTGGGGGAAGAGGGCCCGTACATGCATGTAGATTTGTAGTTTTTGTAGGTCTCGAGATGAGAAATCGGTACAGACGAACACACACACACGCATACACAGACGGCCTTTTGACAGCGTACGTTTTTGCATTGCATGGATGCAAAAAATTCATGGAAACAAGCAGCTCAGGATCCAAGGACACAAAAACACGCGAAAAAAAAGCACACATGTCCTCAGTTTAGGATTTTTTTTTTTTGCTTTTTCTTCATGGGCCTCTGGTCACTTAACCTATTTAGTGATGCATGTCACTGAAGTAATGCAGTGTTTGTGCTAATTGTTTGGCTTTTCAGATAAAAAGAGGCCAAGAAGTGATCTGGTCCCGCTTGAGAAATTCTTCCGTCTGGGCATCGAGCAACC